GATCATGCTAATAAACTTTTAATGAACTTTAGATCACCATGAAATCTCTGATGAAGCAGATTCTACAAAAACCATCTATATTTATAATTGTATAGGTTTTCTACATCATTTGATGTATTTGCACTCATTGTGTCTACTTTTATTGTTCAATTTAGAAATGTGGTTTTGTTTCTTGTTTACAGATTATTTTTATTTTAGCTTTGCCTTAAAGTTTAATTCTTGTTTTGTGATTTGTACATCTGTGGGTTAGAATAAAGTTGAAATATAGGCTCTATCCCTTCTTTAAACATGTTTGAGGGAACTATTCCTGAGCTCCAATAATTTTGTGTCTTTTTATGATTTTTCAGCTGACTCAACTTTAACAGATTATTTAATAGTCATTAAAGTCAAAACAGGATTTCATGATAAAGCCGGCACTGTTTTTTTTTTAATACATAAAATGTTTTTAAAAATTGTTTCTACCCTCCGTCCCAGACGTCTGCCGGAGCACGCCAGGTCGGGGCTCGGACGCTTCAACGGGTCTGCAGCTCGTATGATCCTCCGCGGTGAGCAGCGGAGCTCGGCGCAGCGGAGCTCGGAGGATGAGCACGCGAGGCCGGGGCGGATGGTCGGCAGCACAAAGGATCTTTCACGGTGACCGGTGGAGCTCGGAGCCGGGGAGATGACGCCCTTCCCGGCCTGAGGGGGCTCCAAGGAGAGCACCGGGGGGACCGGCGGAGCTCCATCTAGCTCGCTCTGAATTTTGTTGTCGGACACAAAGCACAAAAAACCCCACCTGCACTTCAGTATTAGACTACGATGTTGTCATTATAGTTTTTAAAATCTTAAAAATAGGCCCAGCCGCTCCTCGAGTTCGAGTCATTGCAAATGACGGATCGAGTAGTTGGGAAAGTTTCTCAAACAGCCAGTGACTCCGCCCCCTGACCAATCAGTGACTGACAGTGTTCTGAAGTCACATTTTGGTGCTAGCTCAACCCGGTTGGAAATGGTACTGAGAAAGGGGACAAGTTCTACGAACCGTTACTAGTGGAAACGCCTTGGAACTGTGCCGAGTCGAACTGTGCTGCACCGTTAATAATGGAAATGTGGTTTTAGATCCATTCAAGCACTCAGAAGAATCACCACACTTGTAAAATAGTCCAAGTCACTTATTTACCCATTGTGTGTTGGCCTTTCGCCGTCAGTTTATCTGTTCTGTTTATTATTATGTTAGAGGGATTACATGTTCTCTCTGGTTTAGGAACACTTTGGGGTCTCCCAGAAGGATCTGGAGAGTGTATCTGAGGAGAGGGATGTCTGGGTTCTCTTCGTGAACCTGTTGCCTTTCAGACCCAACAAAGGATAGGGAGGGGGCACATTTTTGAAATAACAAATTATCTGTGACTTGTTCCCCGTGTTAACTTTTACTTGCTGCAAACAGAAACAACTGTGCAGTATTTATTGTAACCTCAGTTTTACCAGTTGCCATTCTAGTTTGCCATGACCCTAAATAACCTTTCATATGGAGATAAATGCAACAACAATGTCAGTGTGCCTCTTTTCTTCTTCCATAATTCACACTTCTAGATTTACAAGGAGCACCTGCCCTGAGCTGAGACAGGTATATTAGCTGGAGCCCCTGGAGACTCCTCCAGCTCACATAGCCAGGAGTCACAGGGACTCACGCACCTTCAGCTGCTCAAACGCATTTTTTTTTTTCTGCAGCCGCGCCTTGCATTAAACAGGGTCAAAGGAATGAATAGCTGCAGGGGGAGATGGTGAATGAGGCGGGAAACACCCAACAGCCCGGTGCAAGTCTCAACTGAGATAAGACCCTCCTTTTACATCAAGCTCTGCACAGTCAGATGAGACAAAGAAGGAGTCATTCCTTCAAAATAAAAGAAAACTTGGCTAATTTTTGCAGCCATATCAAAACAGACTGAATCTAAAAACAAGACTTATTTTAATATAGAATAAGGATACAATTAAAATTAGACATGAACTTCACAGTTGCAATCTTGAACATTATAAACAACACTTAAAAGTGGATACTGTGCTATCTGAATATTTTCAATGTTTTTAAATGCTGTATCGAAATGTATTAGACAAGTATGTGAAACTATCTGTTTGTTCCTGTTTAAGGTCAAATTTAATAATAAATAATACAATAAATCTTAGTTAAAACCCTTGAAATTGCCATTGATTATACTGATTTTCTAGTAATATGGTTTAAACTTTCTGAACCATGCAGCAGCAAGCTGAGAAGTGAATTAAGCTTTTTTTTTTAAAATAACATTAAATAAAAGTTTTAGTCTTAATTGCTGTTTTGTTTAAAATTGTATTAAAAAAACTAGCTTTTTATTATGCTGCTTGGAAAAAAAATACATATTTTTTTTTGGGGTGGTGTTGAATGGGACATTAAAGCAGCCTAATTGAGAATTTTTGTGTTGAAACCATTTATCCTGGAAGTGTCTGGTCAATAAACTAAATAAAATGTTGAGGAGCCGTGCATTTGCTTTGAAATGCCTCACCGGAAGTTCCTTGCTCCATCCAGTCTAACTTGACTGCAGGTCCAGAGCACAGAGTTGCTGGACGGTCTGGATCAGAGTCGGTGTGGGACTGGAAGGAACCTGTCACTGAGCGGTCCCGAGGGAAGCTGCAGGACCCGGAAACGCACGTTTTGAGAAGGTAAAGAGGATTTATTTAATATGCATCACTGAAGGAAGCCCCAGATGAATCCGAGGAGCTGTTCCTTCCAGCTCGCAGCGCTCCTCGTGCTGCTGGAGGCGAACCTGCACATCTCACCTGAGCTCCAGTCAATTAGAGACAACTTCCGCTGCTTTATTTACACCAAACAAAGACGCTTTCTTTAGGATCATATCTGTCATGGAAGCTCTTTTAGCTGCACGAACGAGTTTACAAATACATTATAGACTGTATGTAACAACACTGTGATTTATCAGGTGCAGAAAAAAAAAAAACCACTTGGTTTTAAATTATGCCAAGTTTATTAAAAGCAGAATAAGTTATTTAAATGTCCCAAGTTTGCATTTGTTTTTTTTTTGTTTTTCAAGGTGCACAGATGCAGGAGTTCTCTGTCCTCTTGCATCTTGGATTAAAACATGTCAATCTGCCTAAATAAAGCTTGACAATAAATACTACAATCCTGAGAAAGATGTTTTAATTGTTTTCTGCAGTTCCTTATGGAAAACATGCAGTTCTATTAAAGTAAAAAGAGCCCCTTCAGGTGTCAGATGTGTCTGCTGTCCCGACCCCCCCATTTCCTTGATGCAGCTTGAATGATGTGACTCATTCCAACTCTCCTAACTCTCTTCAGCTCACGTCAAAAATAAGAACAAAAAATTCTGAGAAACCCCATCCTGTTTCTCATGAGCTGCTGCTAAACTTATTTTACTGTAACCACATTAAGAAAGATAGACATGTCTTCTTCCTGACTGGACAGTTTTCCTAAATAAATATATCTAAACGTAGGGATGCACAATATTATCGGCATTGTATCGGTATCGGCCGATATAGCGATAAAGTTGAATATCGGACATGGGCCATTCCAACAAAATAATTCACCATTATAAAAGGTGTTGTGTTTGTATATATATATATATATATATATATATATATATATATATATATAT